GCTCTGTTCCTTTCGCCAGCGCCCCCTGCCATCTTGCTTCCGCTCACATGTGGGCGTGGCTGGAGACGACAACGCACTCATACGCAAAGCAAAGCAAACAGACAAACAACAAACTGGCAAACAGACGGACAAACAAACAAACAGACAGACAGACGGACAAACAGACAAACGGCAAGCTGAAGCGAAACGGATGCCCGAGACACAAAACTAAAACCTTAAAACTAAAAGCGACAACATGCAAGTGGCTAAAGAAATTGCTCTCGAAAATCTTTTTCTTATTTTTTTTTGGGAGAGGACTGGGGGGGATTTGGGGTCTGGAATGGGGGCAATATTGGCGATAAAATAAAATACGAGACGCGGGCTAAGACGATGACAGCATCAAGACAAGGATACGGATACAGATACGGACGGGTCAACCCCTTCATTGTCTAGGGTCCCTCCAGCCACAAATATTTATATTTTAGTTAATATATCCCAAGTCACAAAAGGGTTCTAATCGCTTCTAAATGGCATATGAAAAAGGTCCTTTCACAGGCTTGGGGAAAAATTAATGCATATGGTCGTGGTTAATTTACTGAAACAAGGACTTGAGGTTATTTTGAGGTTAGTGGCTTAGGACTACAAGACAAGAAGAGGCATAACTATGTTTTATAGTCCTTTCTTAGAGAATTAGAAGGACATTAAATAAGTACCGGGTATCATATTTACAAAAGTCTCATATATTGTTATTCTCTGCTTAATTTTATATATTTAAGTTTTTCTTTAAAGTAAAATCTTTAAAGATTCGCATGCGTTTGGCTCATCCTGGAGAGAATTTTTCTTGTCATTTTTCCTGCAGTAGTTTTTCGCATTGTTCTTTCTGCAAATGCCAGACTTTGGCTTCGACTCCCAACTCGCAGTTGGCAATTGGCAACTCCCCGTCTCCTGTAGCCCGGAGTCTGTGCCCTTATCCCCATGTCCTGCACCCGGTCCCTGCTTCAGAACAACAAGAACAACCGATAGCAGCTAGGGACGACGACAGACACATGGCTATCGAGTATGTAGGTCAGGCGAACGGAGAACGGTCGGGCTTTTATGAATTGCCAGCAGCTGACTTGACTTGATGGCACCAGATTTTGGTTTTCATTTTGCAGCCAAAAGAGCCAAAGCCAAGACGACTAAAAATCAATAACTGTCCGCAAGGACACCCAAAGTTCGAGTGCTCGGGAGAGTGGGGGGCTGGCGCTGATAAAACTGCGACAGAAAGATTTCAAATTAAGCGACAGGACGCGAAGGGCGGGAAAACAGAACAGACCGGGGGAAAGCCCCGAAACCGATATCGAAAACAGAGAACGTAGAACAGAAAACACACAAAACAGAAGACAACAAGTCGAGCAATAAAGCAATTAGCAACCGACAAGGGAGATAATACAACTAATTAAAAGTAAAAGTTATGCGTCAGCGAATGAGATTTTTATTGAGAGCACAAAAGGACCTTGTGCCAGTGGGCGTGGCAGCTGTTGTATGGCTGTATAGTCTGCCGCCTTCTGGGAGTATTAAAATGCGGTTAAACCCTCAACCTCAAACTCAGGCCACTCAACCCACCCACCTTTATCGCTATGTTTTGCTTTTGGCCTAAATTATGAGGTTATAATTCACAATTAAGCAAACGCAAGCATAAAACATAAGCACATGACATAATTATGCTCAGCTCTTTTGGATTTATATACTATATTGTGCTACATTATAGTGTGCGAAGGCGAGCGAGGCCAACTGGCTAGAACAGGCAGAAGACTCAGTGGACTTTTGTTTTTTGGCCATTCTGACCTCATCAGATAGCCAGGCCGGCAGGAGATTCAAATCAAATTAATGAATGACTTTTGCACCTTCGAGGAAAGGAGACAAGAGTGAACAAGGATATTTGAGTGGAATTTCAAACAAGAGCAGGATAATTAAGTAGGTGGTAGTTGGGTGATGATTTCACAAACTAAAGCAAATATGCTTCACATAAAATAAATATTGCGAATAATTTATAGAAAATAATATTTAATTAAAGCTTTTCTACACTAATTCTAACACCTCATTTGTTGTAATTTTATAAAAAATACTATAAACCACATTTTTCGGTATGCTTGAACTAAAATTTTATTCCAGACTTGCCACAAAAATGTTGCCACAAGTTGGGGCCATGTTCAAGCTTAAATGAAGAGATTTTTGACATAGAATTGTAATTATTTTAGTGTGGCTTGGCCCCTACCACCCAGGGAGTATCTGTTTCGGAGACCCAGTTCTAGTTGGCTTAATTTTTGTCACACAAATAGTGGATTTAATTTAGTATTTTCATGCAGATAATACAAAAAGCTTTTAATTTAGGCAATTTATTAATGAGCTTTTGGCATAGAAAATACATTAATTTGTTCGCTATCCATTATTCGTTTTGTTTGCCCGTGTGTTATTATTTATTGCTAAAATGCATTAAAACTGAAGCCGAGAGTCCAGAGTCGAGAGCAGAGGGCGGAGATTATTTATTTGGCTGCTGTTGGCTGCCATTAACTGACAAATTTTCACTAATTGCATTGCATTAATAAACTGGAGTAACACAAACACAAATAGCGCATAAAAATCAACTGCAAAAAATACATGTCCGTGGCCGTAAATTATGGCCGATGGTGGGAAATGCTGTCTAATTGCAAACTGAAACTGCAATAACAACTGCTGCTGGCTAGTGGCATGGTGCAGTGGCAGTGGCAAGCAGGATTCGAGGAATGCAGAAACAACAAATCAAAGGAATACCAATTCATCGACGACTGTCTGCGTATGCCATAAATATGCATTCAATGAAAGGCAAGGGGAAAGTCCCTCTTTACAGCCCTTTATAGTACAGCTCCTGCCCCCTTGGCAGGCATTATAATTTAAATGGACTTTGGAAAAAGCAATTATATGAAATTAAATTTCGTGTGTGTGTGTCCTTTAATCCTGCACTGAGCTGCATGCATAGTTCATGTTATCCCATAGCGAGGATAACGCCAACCGGCCAGGCCAAAATGGGTGCGGTCAATAGCCTCCGCAGACCCCGTCCGTGGCCCACCCTGGCCACCCCATGGCTGCGGCTCTCCTTTTTGTCCTCTTGTGTCCACTCCATGGAAAAGTGCGTGCCGACACCTCGACAGGTCAGGAAGGATAAACAGGAACAGGAGCTGCGTGCCTGGCGCAAGGAGAGGGACAAATGGGCGCAACGTTGCGTAATGCGTGTTGAAATACACTGACAGAAAATTGAGGTACTCTTGCTTTCAAACTATTTACATATAATTTATGCCAAAGAATATTTTATTCGCTGTGCAGTTGTTTGTTTGTGGAGTGCCTTTCGTATGAATATGAATTGCTTGCGGTTGCATCAAGTGGCACGCGAAATGCACTCCAAATGCATTCAAACACACTCATTCCAGACACAAAGCGAGTCCCAGACATAAAGTTGACTTCATTTGGCCATTGAATCAGTTGATTGTGAGTTTATTAATTTATATATTTTATAATATAACTGAAATATAGAGATCATCAATAAGATATACATAGGCTCTGAATCCCAAATAAGAAAACTCCAATATTAATTTCAATTTTTGAAATAAATTTGTTTATTATAGTTGTTGCTTGACTGCATATTGTTTTGTTTCTCATTTTCGACTTCATCGAGTCTATGTTTTTGCTCTTAAATCCACAAATCTGTTGTTTTTGCGATTATTTAAAATAAATTTTCGCTTACAAACTAAATAATGGGCCATGTTCATATCAAAACAAGAAGAGTTAAATGAAAAAGAATGTATTAGTTGAAATATTTTGCCAGCCGCTTTTTAATATTTCGTATTCATATTTATGTATACATAGAGTTGGTATTAATTTGCATAAATGGCATTTAGGAACGCAAAAATCTTATAAAGTATTTTATCCGTATTATGGGTGTTCGGTCGCCTGTCAGTGGTCAGTTCTCGAGTCTAACATCGTTGCATTTGTGAGTGAGTGTGAATGGAGTGTGTTTGCAGAAATGAGTAAACGTGATTTCAAATGTTCAAACTTTAAATGGCAATATATATTTGGTTTTTTGTAGTTTCCTTGTGAATCCTATAAAATGGAGATTTAAAATTGGGCTTAATTGGTTTGAAGTGAAATTTTATTTTTAATGGCAATTTATTACCATTTGATGTTTTTGCTTATTTAAATTTAGCTAAAACTTTTGCGAGTAACTTGTTTACTTTTTGTTTTATTTTTTGGGGGCGTTTGTAATGGTTCTGTACAAAATGGTAAAAACTAAATTTAAAATATTTCCTTGCGTGTAATACTTAGAGATGATTTATTAGTAGTATCTCAATTTTTTTAGGCCTTTGCTTTTTTTTTAATAAATTCATCTGGGATGTATTTTTTTCTCCGATTCTGCTTTTTTGTATACATTTATTTAAGTATTTATATATGTACATTTCGCAGCCAGACATGCGAAAATATTATTTATTCATGTATATTTTGTTTGTTGTTTGCTTAATGAAAAAATATGGAAAATCATAATAATGCTCCCCTGCCAGGACCCCTCGCGATGCTTCCGTTGATGCTGTATCTGCACTCTTTTCAATCAATACCCTACTGTTGTTCTTATTTGCTCTTTTGTTGTTTTAATGGCATGCCATTAAATAATTTCATTAAATGCTTTGTATGAGCAGCCAACAAGAATTCAACAAAAAGCCTGAAAATATGCTCAATTGATTGTTTATTCGGTTTTATTTTTCCGCTCCTGACGGTTTCTTTAACCAAGTAATCGCAAACACAAAGTAATGTATGGAAAAAATTATCCATCCAGTAGCCTTTTGCTTTTAAATTAAAATTTTAAGTCTTCAAAAATAATATTAAATGGTTTTTTAGGGTTTCGGGTGATAGTTATAAAATATTAACTTTGGCCCCGCATAAGGAAATAATTTGTAAATATTTATTTTCAAATATAGACTGAACTTGACTTGAAAAAATTCCCATAGCCATGTAAATTATAATAACTTTGCAAATCCGCCACAAAAAAACTACACCATACAGACAGTATTGGTTAAAAAAAAAACATGAACATAAATAAATGAAAAGCAAAACCATTAAGCCCGAAACTGCATTGCGTTTTTTATTCATTACCCTCGTTCGGGTACCATTTGGAGGCTTAATTGTTATCAACGGCAGCTTCATGGTCGGCTCATCATTATCGCATTGCCGGACCGAGAGGCTGAGAGGCTGGGAGGGGGCTATGATTTACTATAATTTTATTTTCAATTCGTTGAGTGTCAGCTATTAATATTATTATGTATATATAGTTCTCTGTGTATGCATATTTTCATCGCAGTTATTATTATGACTTTTTATTGTTTGCAGCATTTTCGCTCGGCCTGTGGGTGCGAATTTCACTTAAATGTGTTTTTTTTTTGTTTCTGTTGGTGTTGGTGTTGGGCTTCTGCTCCTTTTGCATTTCTGTTTACCAATGGCATTGTTTGATGTTTATCGTACAATTTCCTTACATGCTAATTAATTTTCCTGGCTATCTGATGATGGCGGAGGGGGTGTGGAAAACGCTGTGGAAAGTTGAAAATGATTGGGGATTCTTTTTCTGTTTGTTTTATATTTTTATTGTAATTTTTGTCGTATTTGTATATTTATTTTAATTCAACACTGTTGTCTTATACTTGTCGTAGCTATGTAATATTAAATAAATTAATTATCTGGCATTATGTATTTATAATTATGTACAGGCCCTTACATTAAAACCGTTCAAGTTATTCATCCATTTATACAATTTGTAAACTATTGAAATCTCATTAAGGATTAGCGTCTGCTTAGTGTGTTTCTGGGATCTATATACAAGGAATAATTTATTTAATCAACTAAAAGTATCAGTCTGTTCGAACCATCCCAAAAAGTATGCTATCTTCTGGCTACCGCTTCGATTAATTAGCTTTTAACTTTAGTTAAGGTTTAGAGTTTTCTTTTATCGTTTATAAATTCACTGGTTGCGCAGTCTGTCCCCTGCTTGGTTTTGTTTGTTTTTTTTTTATTTTTTTTTTGGTTTGGGCTTTAACCCCGTTACGCCCAGAGGTTCTTCTGCTGATCGTGATCCTCGTCCTCGTCATCGTCGTCGTTCAGGCTCAAGTTGGACTCGTAGTGGGTGAGCTCCGGCTGCCGGCTATTGTTGCTGCTGCTGCTCATGGTGACGCTGCTCTGGGTGGCGCTCTCCAGGAGATTTGCCCCGCCCCCACCGCCACCGCAGCTGCACAGGAGGTCCTCCTCGCCGTTGCAGGTGCAGGACTTTTTGCAGTTGTAGGACGCAGGGCCCCCGCCTGGAGGCACGAAGTTCGAGCTGAAGCTGGGCGGCAGGCCGGAGCCCTTCATCGGCTGCGACCGCTTGGCCGTGCCCCCGCCCAGGTTGATGCACTCGCAGTTGCCCCCGCTGCCCCGCAGCTGCTGCTTGGCGTAGTCCACGCTGTCGTAGGCCGGAGCGGCGCTGGGCAGGTAGCTGGGCACGGCGTACTCGTGCTGGCTCCGGCGGTTCGACTGCCCGTGGTGGTTGTGGTGCTGGTGCTCCAGGGTCTTGGCCATCCCGGCCACACTCAGATCCCTCTGCTGCTTCTTCGACAGCTGGTTCATGGTGTTGAACTTACAGGCAGCCGCTGCCGCCGAGGCCGAGGTGGGGATGGGCTTGTAGCCGCGTCCGGTGGTGCCCACGCCTCCGCACTCGTTGATTGTGGCATAGTTGTTGCCGCCACACTCCGCATACCGAGCGGTGGGCAGAGGAATTACGGCTCCGTTGCCGGCCTGGTACTCATGACTGGTGGCGTACATATTGACGGAGGGCGTGCGGGCGGAGAGGCAGCCGGAGACCACGCGCTTGTTGTTGTTGCTCCTTCCATTGGGCAGGGGCAGGGCCAGTCGCAGCTTCTGCCAGAACTTCTTGTCGTCCCACTCGATGCAAGTGCTGGTCCGCAAATAGTGCCGCATGTCCATGTCGATGTCCCTCTGGGGCAGATCTCCGTACAGGATGAACACCATGCGCTTCCTTCGCTTCACCAGCTCGTGCAGGGCACTCTTGTACTCGAAGCGACTCCACTCGTTGTAGAGGAAGTTCTTGGACAGGACCAGAACAAACTGCTTGGCACTCTCGGCGGCCTCAATCAGAGCGTCCGTAATGTAGGCATTAATGTTGACATCCCTGTAGTGCAAACACAGCCTGTAGCCAATGTCGTTCTCCAAGGTCTGCGCCAGAATCTGGTTCACAAAGTGCTCGTCCTGGAGGCTGTAGGCGAAGTAGGCGTCGTTGGGCCGCTCCTTGTCGAGCTGGTCCACGAATCGTGGCGACTTGTAGCAGAAGTTCATCAGGCAGCTCGTCGAGTGGGCCCACATCTTCAGCTCGTGGCGGTAGCAGAAGAGGCCAAAAATCAGGCCGAAGAAGCCCACAAAGGCGCAAGTGGCCACCAGGAGCAGGGGCAACAGGCCCTCAATCTCGTTTGTGTGCATGTAGTGGGCCACTCCGTCCCTGAGGGTGCACTTGGTGCCGTTCTTCTCCCGCAGCACACTGGTGGCATTGTTGTAGATGCAGCTAACCCTGGCGGCGTCGATAATCTTCTCGGAGCTCTGAGCCAGATAATTCCGGAACCTCGCCAGGTAGCCGCATTCGCAGCTCCACTGGTTCTCGGCCAAGCTGATTTCCACCAAGTAGGGATTAGCACTCAGCTGCCATACCTCAAAGTGCATCAGTCGGTTGCCATCGAGCCGCAGGACCTCCAGTTTCCTCAGCATCTGGAAGCTGCCATTGGCAATGCTGGCGATTCGGTTGGATTGCAGATACAGCTCGCGCAGGTTCTCCAGGTTGTGGAACTCATTGCCCTCCAGGGAGACGATGTGATTATCCTCCAGATGCAGGATCAACAGGCGTTTCAGGCCGCTGAAGGTGGTGTTGTAGATGTGGGCCACGTTCGAGTTGTTGGCGTACAAGACGGCCAGGTTCTTGCGACCTAGGAACGAGTGCCCCGCCAGCTCCACGAAGTTATTGCCATCGATGTACAGCTCAGTGGTGTCCATGGGCACTCGACGCGGCATCTCGGAGTAGCCTGCACCGGAGCACTCGACGATGTTCGTAGACCAGGTCTGGTCGTGGAAGCACGTGCAGTTGGTGGGGCAGGTCATCTCGCAGTCGCAGGCATCGAACTCGCAGCAATGGCACACCGCAAAGCAATGGGTCTTGTACGTGCACAAGAAGTGCTTGGGCTCGGCCTCAATCAGGGGAATATAGGCGCGCTCCCGGTTGTTCAGCAGCTTGCAGTAGATGGTCTCCAGGTCCATTATCCTGGGGTACTGCCGCGAAGTGATGTGGTTAATCTTCTGCAGCCAATCGATGTTGCAGTCGCACGTAAACGGATTCCCACCGATGTAGAACTCCGGCAGGGCGCGGTGCTCCCACACTGGAAGTATTCTGAGCGACTTGATGTCCAGAGTGGTTATCTGGTTCGCGTAGAGATCCACCCTGGTCAGATTGGTCTTGTGCATGAAGGTGTCGGGGTCGACAGTGGTAATTAGGTTGTCGTTGAGGAACAGCAGCTCGATGGAGTTGGGAATGGAACCGGGTCCGATGCGCTGGATTTGATTGAAGCTCACGTCCAGGGTCTGCAGCCTCAGCTCGGCGTCCAGGCCGAAGCGATTCGACAGGATGCTCAAGCGGTTCTTGTGCAGGTCCAGCCATTGAAGAGTGGCCGGCACGTGACCGTAATCGAAGGACTCGAGGCGATTATCTGATATATTCAGCCAAAGGAGCGATGGCATGTTGCTGAACAGCCCGTTGATGTCGTTCAGATCGTTGCCATCCAATCGGATGGCCTGGATGCTGGAGGTCATCTCGAAGGCCCCGGGCTCGACGACAGAAATCCGGTTCCTGGCCAGGTTCAGAATCTGTAGGCTGGGCAGGTCCCGGAACGTATGCATTGTTATGTTTTCGAGGTAGTTTCCAATCAGGCGCAGGCCGTAGAGGTTGCCCAGGCCCTTGAAGGCGTTCTCCTCCATCACGGTTATCATATTCTCGCCCAGGTCCACGGTCCGCAGATGCCGCATGTTCCGCAGCGCCAGGGGAACCGTCTTCAGCTGATTGCCATTCAAGTTGAGGTCCTGCAGGGCACTGCAGTTCCGGAAAGCGTCCGGATGCACGCCAATCAGAGCATTATTGTCCAACGACAGCAGCGAGAGCACATACAGTCCATTCAGAGCGTACGCGTCCAGATACTTGAGCTTGTTGTGCGACAGCAGCAGGGTGTGCAGATTGTTCATCGGAGCGAAGGTATCGGCCGCAATGTTCTCCAGCTGGTTGTGCCGGAGGTTGAGGATCTGCAGGGTGTACAGGTCGCTGAAGATCTCCGGCTCCAGCTTGGTCAGCTTGTTGTGCGACAGGTTCAGCAGGACGAGGCGAATCAGGCCCACGAAAGTGTTCTTGTCGATCCAGGTAGAGGTTATCTGGTTCATCGACAAGTCCAGAGCCTGCAGCTGGTCCAGGTTCGAGAAGAGCTGCGGATTCAGGACGCTGATGGAGTTGTTCTGCAGGTAGACCTCCTGGATGGTCTTGGCCTGCTCCGAGAACAGCTCGGTGGGCAGGGCCACAATCTTGTTGGAGCTCAGGTTGAGGATTTGCAGGTTCTTCAGGCCACTGAGGGCCTTGTCGGCAATCATGGAGATGCCGTTGTTGTTCACAGACAAGACCCGGAGTCGGCGCAGGGTACCGAAGCCATTCGCTGGCAGCACCACGAAATCGTTGTGACTCACGTCCAGGTACTCCAGGTCCAAGGAACAGCTGCTGGCGGAGCTGCTGCTCTTTTTGCCCGACTCTGTGGTGGAAGTGGCTTCCGTGGAGCCAGCTGGCGGCTCCTTGCTGCGATCCCTGAATCCCAGCTCGTTGACATCCTGCAGACGGTTCTCACTCATGTTCAGGGCGGACAGCTCGGAGAGGGCGCAGAAGATGTTGTCGGGCAGGGACCAGATATTGTTGGAGCTCAGGTCGAGGCGCTCCAGCCTCCTGGTCACCGCAAAGGCATCGGCCTCAATCTCGAAGTTCAGGGCTGGCCACAGGATGTTGTGCGTTCGGAGGGTGAGATTCCTCAGCTGCTCGAGGCCGTCGAGGACCTGGCGCCCCAGGCGGCCCAGCTTGCAGTACTGAATGGACAGTTGCTGGAGCCGGGCCAAGTGGGCGAACGACTGGGCCTCCAGGCGGCTCTTGGCCATGATCTCGTCGTTGCAGAGGATGTGCAAAGCCACCGTGTGCTCTGCGGGTATCACGCTGAAGTTCGTGGTGTCGAACTCGCTGTTCACCGTCCTCAGGTTGCAGGTGAGGGCTATCTCCGGCTGGTCCAAGCCGGCAGCTGGCATAAAGTGACAGTCGTCGGGGGCGTCGTATAGCGAGGGGTCCGCCCCGGGGCCCGTGGTGAGGGGACGCAGGGTGCGCGCCGGAGTCGCCGGGTGCATCAGCTGGCTGTTGGAGACACCGGCCTCACCCATAATGGCGTTCGAGTGCGATGGCTGCTGGTGCTTGCTGGACAAGGACTCTGTCGTGTGCGACGGATCCTGGGCCGCGACCAGAGCTCCGGGCAGGAGTACCAATAGACAGCACATGTAGTAGATCATACTGGCGGCTTTAATTTATTTTCGGCTGAGGCGCCAGAAGAAGGTCGGGCGGGGGAGTAGTTGCGGGGGAGATTGGGAGAAACGAAAAGAAAATCAATTCCACTGGCCGACCAAAGAAAAGTCTGCGCACATATTTTCGGCTTCGGCTCCCACTTTTCTCAAGCCAGATTTTCTTTTAGTTAATTATGCTTCTTTTTTTATTATTTTTTTGGTTGGATGGGGCCTTGGCGTGGCCCAACTCCAGTTGCCTTGGCTCTCTCCGCCTCTCGTTTTCTTCTCGTATTTTTCTCGTTTTTTATTTTATTTTTACTTTACACCCGGCACATTTTGTAGCACTTCTGTGTGGTGTTATTCGGAATTGATATTCAAATTTAATTCAGTTTTCGGTTTATTCGGAATTTTGTGTTTTGAACTACGCGACACGTTTCTGTGTAGGAACCTTCGATGAATCTTAATTTTGCTGCGGGCGCGAATTCTATTATCACTTTTGTGTTTTTGTGTTGTGCCCGAGATAGTGGGTGAGGGTGCGTGTGAGTGTTTTTTTCATGGGTTGGGAATTCGAGCGGTGCAGCGTCGAGAATTCCGGTTCCGGTAATGTGGCGCGCACGATGGCTGACTTTCGACTGACTGTCGCAACGTGCGCAACTCTCACTTAAATACACGGCCTCGGCCGTCCATTCACGACAGGCCGAACTCCCAACCGAAGCGAGGCGGTCTGGAAAAACGAAGAGGCCACAAGGCGGCAGGATCTGCACAAAGGGAAATTCTCACGCACACACACAAACACGCCGTGAGAGAGAGAGGCCGTGAGAGAGCGCACAAAGCGAGAGCAGCATGACTAAAAGGAAATTCGCTCTGCCTCAGCGGATGCTGGAAAATGGTCTTCTTCTAATCGCATCAAACAGCTGGCGTTCTGCCGTCTTGTTGTTCTTCCTTACGTATATCCTTTTTATGTTTTTTTTTTTTGCCGCCACCGCCGCCGATTTGGAGATATCCCCGCACCTCCCGCTGCCACAGGACGACTCGGTCGCTGTCTCTGTTTTGATAATGAAAATATATGATGTGCATGGGCCAGCGCCAATCTTCATACAAATGTAATTTATTTTTATGCCATGTGGATGTGCCTGTTCCTGTGCGTGTCTGTCTGTGTGTGTGTGCCAGTATGCGTGTGTCGGAGGTCCTTTTTTCGGTGGCTCCTGTTCCAGGGGCCCATATAAAAATAATAATTCCTTACATTCCATTAAATTACTATAATAATTTTAATTAAACTGTTTTGTTTGCGCCTCATGTAGCAATTCCTGTGGCTTCATGACTTCTTTTTCGCAAAAAACTGTCCTTTTCATCAGGTTAATGGTAATGATTATGGGCCCCATAATGGGGCCTTCTCGTATGGGGCTATGTGTGCGGATTTGTGAGGATTTCTTTGCTTTAAAATAATACAAGCTATGCAGGTTTTAAAATTATAAAAAAAAAGTTATAAGCAAAAGAGATTTTTTCTTATAACGAACCCTACCTGAAGTTATTATTTTGATATATTCAAGATGCTCCCTTGAGTAAATCAATCTTCCATGCACAAAAAGGGTTCCAGAGGTTAATTCATAATAGAGATGTATTCCTTTGTTCCATATTTGGTTAACCTCTGGCTGGCATTGTTTTGATTGTTTAATATTTCTGTGTGTCTGGAGGCCAAAAAAATATTGATGGATCACCACAAACACGATTGAATAGCTATTTCCACGGCACGGTAACCTTGATAAGCCCCAGTTCTTTTATGACTAATTCCCAAGAAAAGCAGCTGCCCAGGACAGTCACTCTATCTGTGGGTAATTCGCCTTGGTTGGCTTGAAAGTTTTCCCATATCCATGGGTATGTGTACGGATATTTTTGTCGCCACCGAAAGCAAACACGAAAACATTTCTAGAAAATTGCGTCAGCCAACAGAGCGCCCTCACCAAGCTCCCATTTTGGTGCTGGGCTAATGATTTGCCTAATGTTTCTAACAATTATGTGGCTTGGCCACACAAAAGAATATATTATGTAAGTTATTAAAATTATATCACCAGCAGTGGCGGCTCCAGCACCATCACGAACAGCAGCCAAGTCTAATAAGCCTCATGCACTTGGAGAAAAATAAAGGAAAAATTACTTGGTATAAGAAAGTATAACTTAAGGATGAAAAAGTACAAAGTTTAAATGCTTATTTGTTTCAATAATGGAACTATTTATAAGTAATATACTATTACTATTAATATTAATATTTTCCTCAGTGTGCCCCTCATTTTCCTCACCTTAAGGCTTTTCCTGGCTCTTTCAAATGTAAATGGCGGCAAGGACGAGGTTTTTGTGGCTCGCTTCTCTTTTGTGTGATGCGATGGCACATGCAACCATGGAGGAATATTCCTTCTCTCCGGTCTTATTCTTTTTCGGTGGTTATCAATTTGGTGAACGCTTCTGGCTTTTGTCCGTGGTCCTCTGGTCGCAGCTCCTTTATTTATGTGCCCCATAACGAACGATGTGCTCCTCTGCTCGTTCTTGCGCCGTTTTTTCGTTCTTCGGCGTAACACGAATGACAAGATTTTCATCAACGTCATTAATATTAACTTTTGCAATAATTCTCGAGCTGTGGAAAATTATGAGAAATGACCGAAAAGATAAAGCCAGAGTTTGGGCAGAAGCTGGGCCAAATCGGAGTCCACTTTTCGACAAAGCCATAACTCTCAGTCTGGAGATTGGATTGGTTTGGGCCGGCTATGGGAGATGTCCTTGGGATGGTATTAGCCTGACGTCTGGACGGCTTTCAAGTCAATCTTAATTGTGGCTCTGCTCTGGACTTGGCCTAATGACAGCATTTCGGATTACTTTCACTCAAAGCCAAGGGGGAAGCGAGAAAAAAAGGTTGCATATTTTATGGCGCCCAAGCAGCTTTACGGATGCACTGTCAGAAATCTTCACAACTTAGAGTAGTCTCTTGCATTGTTTGCAATCGAATTCCCCAAATAATTAGATTTATTAGGTCTATAATTAAAATGTGGGAGATTAAATAAATTTTATGATATTAAATCTAGAACCGCATGTTTGCTTAACAAAAAATATGGCCCATATAAAAGCAATAATAATTATCATTTGTCTCTCAAAATAAAAAGGATTATAGCAATGGAATTTAATCCAAAAATTATCCCGAATGATACAATTTGGCATATTTAAATAACGATTTTCTGGACAAACACAAATGTTTATTTAGGCCTTTACCTTTCGCCAGAAATTGAAATATTTGAGGAGTTCCTTGCGAGTGATTGTGTTGCCATTTTATGCTTCTTGCACTTTGCACTTTCTCTCAATGTAAGAAGTGGTGATCTGGCGTGCGAGATGGAGGGGGATTGGCCCCCCTGTCCAGGACAAAAATCACAATTAAATGTAACAATTGCGTCTCTGGGGGCCGCAGGTCTCCGTAACAAGAGAGCCTCAGAGCCGGCTCTTTCCTGTCAGTTGCTTGTCCGATGCCAGCTTAAATTGCCCATACACGTCAGAGCCACCCCCTGAAGGACCTCCCACCCACACAATCCAGCCACGCTCCTTACCCCCCAAACGGCCCACCGAAACATCCTTTTTGGCCAGCTTTGGCTCGTCCTCGTTTGTCGTTTCTCTTTCACTCTGTTTGCGTTTATTAATTGTTGCCTTTATTTTGGCCTCATTTTATTTGATTTGGTTTTCCTTCGAGCGGCTTTCCTTCGCCTTTCCTGGTCCAGACCCCACTTTTTTCTGCTCCTTTTGTTTTCACTAGAAGCGGCTATAAAGCCAAACCTAATTGACTTATCTTGCCATGGGTTTGCTAATTTCTCGGCCATTGTGTCTCGAAGCTTCTGTTTCTGTTTCTGCCACTGGTTTCTTTGGGCCATAAAAATGCCCAGATAAGTCAGTCAGTCAGTGAGGCATTTCAGGCAGCTCAGACAGCCGGATAGGAATCTTCAGCGCACTAATTAGCAATTGACATGAATTGCTCATTAGCAGCAAACTAAAGCTAAAAATTTACCCGGGCTATCTGTCCAACTAGCTGGGGATCCGGGGATCTGTATCCAAAAGATACACAGGACCGCTCATCAGACAGGATAAAAAGTGCCAGTCATGGTGGGAGGTGGTGGTGATAAAGTAGATGCTGCTGGTCCCCTAATCTCTAGATACACTTGTACAAAAATATCTAATGGAATATAATGGAATTTGCTTGACACAAATCTAGTCCTGGCTGTCAACTGTTTTTATGCTTCATCCTTGGCTCTAAGTATCTAAAGGATCTGCTACAAAATAAGGCAGGTTCAAGGTTATCAGAACATTGAATCTATAAGATTCTTTAAAGATGAACATTTAATACCATAACTCTATTAGTCACTTCGACCCACATTTTAGTTACAGCCACAAAGCTGAAGTAAATAATATTTTATAAAAGAAAATTCCTCATCAAACCAGTTTTTATTGGAAAATATCTTTCCACATGCCGGTCCCTGAAGGAGGCTGCGGTTTCCCCTTCCTGCAGGCCAACCCCATACCAGAAGAAATATTGCAACAAATCTTGAATGTAGCCTGACCAAAGTCCATAATGACAGTTGTGCCCAAAGAAAATTGCACAAGCCAAGGACACAGACCGAAAAGGAAGCGTGGAGGAAAAAGCGGTAGCTGAAATTGCAGCAGTTGCTTTTGGCCAAGTAATTGCCCGGTCGACCTTCAAGACAGTCCGCATCCAGTCCGGTTCAGTTCAGTTCAGCTCAGCTCAGCTCGGTTCAGTTAAGTTCCATAAAAGTCCTGGCCACAGTCTTGCGGGTTATGAGAAGGTGGCAGCCGGAAATCGAACATGTGGCCAACTGAAACGGAAGTCGGAGGGTGGCCCAATCTACCTTATATGGGTTGACATTTAATTTATATAGAGCGCCGTCTCGGTGGCTCACCTTGGGTGGGAAATGCCCCTGAGATGAGCCACCAATTTAGTTGTCAAAATACTCCAAAAAAGTAAACAATCAGTGAAATATCGAGCTGTTGGACACAAAAAAAAGAGAATATAATGCAATCCAACTGGGCTGGCTGACTTGGCATTTACCTACATGTTAGGGTTTCCTGCTTCCGCTCCAGCAGAAGAAATACGGGAAAAAAAGGACAATGCACAAGGCTCATAAAGACATTCGGCCATCAGCAAACTGACAAACAAATTTTTTATTTCCGCAGACAGAAGAGAAAGGCCGAGCTCAAGAAAGGACAAGATGAATTGCCAATGGCTGTAAAATGTCCTTTTAAAGCAAATAAAGAAGGACACTGGCAAACTGGACCACCACCACAACTAATCTTGAACATCCGCAAGTGTTTACCTTGGAGTCTCCATTCAATTCCTCAATCTGCTCAATCTTCTTCCCGATTGTGAGTTTTGTGTGTGTGTGTCTGCATGACTATTGGATTTTGCATTGAGATCGGATGTGCGAGGTCGGAGGGCTGGGTGGACGGGGAGGGAATATAGAATTAGATAATATCTCCATCGACATGACAGTCTCCAGTGCCAGTGCCCAGTGCCTGTGTTCAGATGCCGAGCGATAACCCAACTTTTTGAAAAGGTTTCTGTTTCTGTCCTCTTCAATCTAAGATACAAGTGTGGAG